GAACTTCTCCACCTGCTCCACTGATTCTTCGTTAATCTTAAGAGAGCAAAGGGCAGGAGAACGAGAAAGCTCTAGGCTTTTCGTTTTAGATGCGTTCACACGCATGCCGGTGATGTCGCATTCGGATGCAAACCTTTCTAGGGAGCACTGAAGATCAGTTTCGCTAGAAGATGCTAATAAAACACGGTCATATGCAAACATCACCTTGTCGTCAATCACCTTGACATCAACCTTGTCGTCTTGACATCTCTTATATTCAAATACTCATCGTGTTGGCTCCTTCTGACTATTTTATGAACGGAAACAGGAGAGGGGGACACAGAACGCAGCCTTGATTTAGATCAGTGCCAACATGGAAGGTTCCTACTTAACGCCTTTGCTGCAGCGTATAGGCACGTGCCAATTGACCATGGATCCCATATGTTTGCAGTTAAAACAGCAGTACGTTGCTCCCGGTTGGCAGGGCAGAGTGCGATGTGCAGGTTCTGTTCGCGGGCTTTCTGCAGTCTGCCTCAGTCCGGCAACAGCCTGCGTGGCTCTTGGTAATGCGGTCGACGGCCTAGCCAGTATAGTGTTCGATGGCCTCAATACCATGAATGGCAGGTGGATGAAGACTGATGGTGGTTACGGAGACTTGCCACCGTCTCCAACCCTCCTCCTTTCTTAACCTGCTTGGTACCGGCAATGGCGGTGTGGATGTTAATAATCGCTGCATTCTGCAAATCTGTTGTACATATGGATTAACGTTTAGAATATTTATCGTTTGCTGTGCTTTAGATTACGACGTTTATGATGCCAGTAAAAGCGCCTGTTTATGCCATCCAAACATGGTATCAGTTACGCCGCTACTTGTTGTTTTGAACCGCGTAATGCTAGATTTTTTTCTCGGTTAAACTTGATCACTGGTCGGTCATCCAGTTGACCATATTGATTACGTAGTGTATGCATTGTGTTTTATATTGTTTTCTTTGTGACTATCAACGCATGAACGAAATAATCAATCTGCGGAAACTTGATGAATGTCTATGTTCTTTTAAATTTGGAAATGTTCTTTAAAGTTTTTCACAATGTTTCAGTTTCTGTTCTACAAAAAATTTTCATTTGCTGCGTGGATCGCATATTAATGTGAACAGAGGAAGGAAGCATATCTGTTATCGTTTAATATTATGATTTTGCTTGAACCTTAGCCATCATATGAATGTCAGAAATGAAGTAAAACGAAGTATGTTTAATGGTTCAAACTTTAATGATTTGTCAGACTGAGTCAAACACTTTTACACAACCTGATACAAAAATAAAAATACCTTATGATATACCAGAATATTTATTTTGAGCACGTAGATATAAAACGAAGCAAGATTATAATTTGAAAGAACCTCCAGAAATTGATGATATCTGTGATATGCGTGACATTCTGCGAAACATCTGTCTTTCCACTTCATCCATTTTCACGCCTTTTGTTTCTGGCAGAAATTTTAACAGCAGAAAAATAGAGATTACAAGCGCGATGATGAACGGCAAGAAACTGAGAGAGGTGCCTGCCGCGACGCTTAATGGCAAGTAAGCGAATACAACGATCGTTTGGAAGAGAAAGAAGAAGAAAACAATGGTAGTCATGGCCGTGGATCGAGCGGCTTGCGGGAAAAGCTCGGCGGCAATGATCCAAAGTACACTGGATGAGAGCGAGAAACCGATTTGGAATATGTATAAACAAGGAAGAGTGAGAATCTGTCCGGGTTGCCAGTTAAAGTTGATGTTAAGTTCGTTGAACAAAATCAGAGAACAGAGGCACGAAAGGCAGATGGACAGTCCGCCAATCAGAATGCTTTTTCGACCCAATCTTTCCACCAATAAGGTCGAGATCAGCGGCGACAGAGTGTTGCACACTCCTATACCGAGACTTGCGTATTTACTTTTTAGGTCGTCGAAGCCGGCGTTTACGAACATTGTTTTTGAATAAGCCAGAATCGCTGCAATTCCACTGAACTGAACGGCGAACGCGATTATTATCGACAATATGATCGCAAGACGCAAATTATTCTGTTTGAAAAGTTCCTTTACTGTCGATTTCTTGGCACTGAGTACTTTTGTGATCATGGTAAGATGAAACGCGTTCCCACCATAGAAACTTAGTGAGCGGGTCGCTTTCTCGGCATTCTTAATAGTGTATATCAAATATGGTGGTGTTTCATGAGAAAGCAACAGAACGACCAATTGTATCAGGGACGTGATTGCCGGAATGATCATAGAAATCGGCCATAGGCTCTCTGTTCCAAACAACTGAGGCAGCGTGAAAATAAGGGACAAGAGGTTGCCTAAGCCCAGACATACCTGCAACAATGATCCAAACATGCCTCTAAAACTTGATGGAGAAATTTCATTGATAAACATCGATGCTAATCCAAGGGAGCATCCAAGGGACAGTCCAAGAATCAAACGGCCGAAAATAAGCAGCTCAAAACTGTTGGTCACTAATGGTATGGTCGTCAGTATCGATCCAATTATGCAGACGGTGCTAGTTATAATTAGTCCTATTCTCCGGCCTACTCTCTCAGCTAGTATTTGTGTCGCCACAGAGCCAACTGTAGCACCAATTTGCAGCGACGCAGTAGTGACAGACCACAGCAGATCGAAGTTCTCCTTGTCCAACCAATATCCATAATGCTGATAAAACGAATCGTTGTAAAATGGCTGCACAACAGTAAATAGATTGTTTACAACAGAGTTGCTGTAAAACTGAAACGGGCAGCCAAGTCCCACAGCAAGCACTATGACGAACAGCAAAGGCCTGATTTCTCTAATCAGTTTAGCTGAAGTTTTTCTCATTCCCATCTTCGAGTTAGACTGGCAAAAGCCGGCGACCGCAAGTCGTCGCAGAAATCTACACCTAATACAACGGCATGCGCATAAATATTAATTTAGGTAATCAAAACGGTACTTGAATATCTGTTAGTTCATACGGCGGATCGAAATCAAAGTGTACTGCGTACCGCGGACCGAATACCTGTAGAAAATTGAACGGATTTTTATATGCAACGTTGCAGTCCGGATAACGCAAGATGTTTGTCTGCTCTGCGGCGACAGCTGTGATATCGCGTAAACTGGTCAAAAAGTCCCAATACCGGATAAGTCAATAAATAACCAGTGAATCTAAAATATGAGGCATTCGCTGCAAGCCAGTTGAAAATGCTTGTTTTTCGATGGAAAAAGGCTGTTGTCAACGCGGCTATTCTTTGCTTAAGCTCGTCATTTTCAAGATGTTATCAGTAGGCCGTCAAGACGACGTTGTTCACTTAACACGGCATCATTTAACGATAGTTTCTTGTGCTACAATTGGCTACCAGCAGCAAAAAAGCAATGGGCTGATGGTACCTGAGGGCACTGATTAGTACCAACTCTCAACTCTGCAGTCGGAGCACTGAATCTGTATAACTGGACAGTGGTCAGCTGCATGAATTACGTTTTTCATGACATAAGGTCATATATCACTGGACAGATGAGTGAAATACGATACCATTGTCAAACCGGTGAGTTTCTTGTGATAACTGTGCCAAGTCAGCATAAGTCAACGCGCAGCCTGCGCTTGCAAGTCTTAACTTATGTCGTGGCATATGGTCATCTGTATCGATTGTCTGACTTCGTCCACCATATTGACTATCAGGGGAAAGCTATTTGCGAAGCGCTAGCAGAGTCGCTAAGCCAGCGCGCTGCTATTTGATCGCGAGACGGAGTCCAAATAACTGCACGTAGTTATCTTCACCTATTACTTGATTTAGCACCTCATGTAATATATCACTCGAAAGCTGTTAGTGAGCAGAATATGAAATTTTCATAATATCCACCAATTTCTAAGTACGCATTTTCGTCCGACAGTTTCACTGCAACAATTATGACAAGGTCATTAAATCGGCACCGTCAACGTTGGCATTAAGCAACTTCCAGAAATCTATCTCTCTTTCCCGTGTGTCTAATTTCATAAACTTGCAGATCAACAGAAAACTCCCGCTGAGCGATAAACGTAAGATCTATTGCAATTCTGAATTTATATATAGCTTTGAGTCCGAAGAAGAGAAGAAAGCAGCTTTTAAGAAATGTCTTGGAAACAAAGAGCTATCTACACGCGTGCGATATGTCGAGGAACGCAAGGCGGCAGCCATAGCAGTGGCAAAAGTTAAGACTGATTCTCGGGAGAAGTTCGATGAGATACTGGAGTCGAATTTCCATACGGCAAACAAAGTATTCTGGAAGACCATCCGCCGGCTTCGAGGTGAAAAGAAGGCCAGCCTCAGAATTTGAAGGACAGATCTGGACACCTTCTTACCAAGGATGATGACATTCTTCGGCGATGGAGGGAGTACTTTGAGGAATTCCTTAACCCCGCGCAACAGCAGGAAGACTCGCCTGTAAAGCAGCAGGAACGGATATTACTATCTTTGTAGATAAAATTACACAAGCTTTTGAAAGCCTGAGAAATGGTTAGGCTGCTGGAATTGCTGAAATCCGCCGTGAGAAGCTCAAGGCATTAGGCAAACAAGGATGTGCTGGCTTACACCTGTCTGTGAAACTCCGTTGACTGCGGGAAAGACAACAGCGGACTGGAGAACGGGAGTTATTGCACCCGTATTCAAGAAGGGAGACCACAAGGAATGCTCCAATTATAGGGGCATAGCGTAATTGAGCCTCCCAGGTAATTTCTACGTAAAGGTGTTAGAAAGGAGGTGCCGTGAAATAGCTGACCTCCAGATGCAAGAAGAACAGTGTGGCTTCCGGCCCGGTCGAAGCACCTTTGACCATATATTTGCCCTGCGCCAGATTGTTGAGAAAT